GCTGTCGCGGTTTCGGTTTGTCATCACTTGTCTTTGCCTTTGCTGGTTTTTTCTTTTGTTTGCTCTTGTCTCGTTTACTCGTTTTCTCTCGCGCCAAACTCGCCGGGATGTTTCCGACTTGTCGTTGTTGTGTCCTGGGAAAGACTGCCGATGACCGGACATTGAACTGCACAGAGACAATCGAGATCGGTACATTGCAGGTACGGAACACCCGGACGAGCTTGCTGCCTTTCTGCGGTGGCCATTACAAACAGATTTGTTCTGTTTTTGTGTTGTGGTTGGTGACACGAACCAGCAGGGTTGCTGTAAATCACCGTCGCGCCTGAGAACAAACAAAAATCAAACAGGGATCAAAACTAGATCACATAGGGATCAGAAAAATCTCAGAACTCTGAGATTCCGGCTCCTAGTCGTCGGAGCTGGAGATCGCAATGTTCGGCCAGAGTGGCCCTATGGCTATTACGTTTACTGTTCCTCTTACTGCTACTCCTACTGTCTCTCGTGCTATCGTATTTATCACGGCTTGTCGGGTACAGCAACAGTGGAAATGTTGATTCATGCTACGATTATTACGGTTCCTGCTGCCATGACAATGGCTATGATGATGATGATGATGACGATGATGATGCTGGTGAAGATGTTGATGAAGATGGTGGTGACAATGGTTCTGATGACTGTGATGATGATGACTATTACTAACATCATTATTAGTATTATCATGACTGCTACTATTCGGATTATTATGGGTTGCTCTTACCTGTTGCTGTTATTGTTACTGTCACTATGGAATACGTTACTGTCACTATGGAATTCGCATGCTGTACTACTGCAACCACGACCACCCTGGCCCTGGAACACTGTCTCCCTGCCCTCAAGCCTCACCACCAAGAACACAAGATCCCCCAAACCCCCACCAAGAACACAAGATCCTCCAAACGTCAACGCACACAGTGCTGCGATGCTAGTTGGACCGCAGAAATCCTATCCTTGTTTGATTTTGATCCGAAAGTGGTTAATCTTGGGGATGCCTCCAGGAGATATGATATCTTGGTTTTTCTTGATTCCTACTTGTGATTTGTTCTCGATCGCTGGCATTTGATTTGTTTTTGACCCCGGTTTGATTGTTGATCCCTGAGCCTTGATCACAGGTGCAGGGGGGCGTCATTGCTGGATCTGTTGTCTTTTGCTTGGCTTCTGAAGCAGCAGTATTGTAGCCTCGGCTACAGGGGAGCCCAAGTGAGCCAACAATCCGAGCTTGGAGTGATCTGAGGGTTTTGGGTCATCGAAGCACCAGCGCACAGGAGCCTCCCGGGGTTCTATGGTACGCGAGGGATGGCAGTGAATGCTTGTAGAGTCAAGCTCCATGTGGTGGCAGGCCAGGCTTTGCAAGTTCGCCTGTGGCAAGCAGCATGGCTGCAAGCGGAGATGTGTCTAAGCCACGCGTGGCACATTGCGCACATGTCCAAGGATGTAGTGATGTAGGATTTTGAGATTGCACAGGTTCGTCGTAGCATTTCTACAGGGAATGCTCCATGACTCCTGGTTTGTACAGCCATCAGTCCGGGCTCCGCACTAGACTTCGCTTGTATGCTTCAAGTTCGGCGAACAGTTCGGTTATCCTAAGTGGAGCAGCGCAATTCGTTGGCCGTTGTGCGGTGTGGGCTTGATGATGCTTGATGTGTGGGGTGCCCGATCGTCTCTCAAGGCTCACCACATCTGTTCCAGAAAGCTCCTTTGTGCAGTTCAAGTTCTGTGAGACCACCCCCCGAGGCGAGTTCAGCCTGGCGAGACGAGAAGAGGTAGGAAGTTCGACACTTGTTGCAGGAGTCTTCTGTCTCCTTCTGCTTCTTGCATAGAGAACCGAGGGTGTTGCAAGGGTCAGCATGCTTGGAGGATGTGCGCCATCAACAAGGTTCAAGCCCAAGGTGATTTTCGCTACCATGACCGGAGATGGTAGCTTTGTTTCCATCAAAAGCCTTGCTCGACAGGGTGGTGGATTTCATGATGCCACCTGTGGAGGGAGGTCACCGCCTCCGGTTGATTCGCGGAAGGTCGCGGTGCTGCCTCTGGTCTAGTTTGTGCAGCTTGCAGATATGCAGCTGACAGGCATGTGGGAAAGGTTCGAAGTGCAGAGATCGCAGTGAAGCCCACTTAAAGGCTCGGGGTACAAACTGGCGCGACCTAGATTGTGCACAATGTCGTGGAGCAGCTGCCGCGGGCTTCCGTTTTTTGGGCCAGGCCATGGCGCACCCCCTTGATGAGGACGTACCTGTGTTGTGAGATGATGTCCTTCTCCCGCAGAGCCGTCAGCGTCGTTCTGCTGAATGCTCGGCTTGGAGTGCCGGCCGTCATTATCGCTGATCGCAACTTAGTCTTGCCTACGATCCGACCCCATGTAAACTAGTATGCACACTCTACACGCACATCATCAGGTGTCATTCAGTACAAGGACAGCCACATACAGCCAGCATCTGGACTATAGTATGTCGAGTCCCTCTATCCTATCGATGTGGTGAGTTGGTGAGAGCCATGGGCAAGAAGAACAAGAAGTCCTCGAAAGAGCTTGAAAGCAAGTCTGCTAAGCTAGCTCTCACGAAAGACGGTGAGCTTTCCCGAAGATTCAAAGAGGTTCTTGTTGAGATCTTCACGCGCTTTGATCTTGACGGAGACGGCGTGCTCTGCGATGCAGAATTGCAGGCCTTTAGCCGTGTAGCCAACAAGGATGGCAGGGAGTTCACGGAGGTGGAGCTATCTGAGATGAGGTCCATGTTCCACTGCAAAGACGGAGGCTCGGCTGCCGGCTCGGCTTCCTCCGCTGGCCTCACGCTACGTGGCTTTGTGCAGCTCTACGAGCGCCAAACTTCCATCTCCGAAGAGGAGACCTGGTCGGACCTCCTGCGCCTCGGCTTCAACCACTCCCTCCAACAGGCGCAGGAGGCGCCTCCTGCTGCAGAGGCCCAGGAAGAGTTGGAGGAACAGCTCAGGCGCTTTGCTTCGTCAGCAGAGAAGGTGTTGGTGATGCATGCAGACGAGGCACAGAGAGTGATACTGTCCAAGATGGCAGCGGAGATGGAGCTGGAATGTCGCATGCTCCAGACGGAAACCTCCGCCATTCCGTGCTTTCACGTCTTCAAAAAGCCACAAATGTCAGAATCCAAGACACATGAACGACCAGCATCAGTCCCTGATAAAGGCAAAGGATCTCCGGTCTTTACGGGACTGGAGCTGGCTGCTGAGTCCTGCAAGCAGGTTCTTGATACCTTCGGTGACATGGTGCCTTCAGGTTGGCAAGTTTTCGCCCACCACATGACAATCTGCCTGGGCAGTCTGGCCGATGCTCGATCCAACGACTGCGAGGTTTCACGTGAGGTGCAAGAGTCTATACGCAAGCTGAAACCCAACGACAGGCTAGAACTGCTTCCGTTCTGCATTGGCAGGGCTGATGGTGTAATCGCCCTTGGAGTCCTGGGATGCCCTTCTGTCAATCTCGTACCGCACATAACACTGGCTTGTGCAAAGGGGCATAGGCCGGTTGAAAGCAACAAGATCTTAAATTGGAGGAGCTTGCCATCGGAGAAGCTGCTGCCTGTGACAGGACATGTCCGAGAGTATCAGCAGGCCGAGGTCGCTTCCGGCTTGACAGCCTCCTCTACGCAAGATCGTCAAGAAATCTTGGGCCGATTGGAGGCACTGGAGGCTCAGGTCTTGGCTGCTCGGGCAATTTGTATGAAGCAACTGCTGGAATCCGATGACAACGCTGTCCGACGCGCCATTGAAGAGCGTGAGCGTGAGCTTTTGTCCCTGAGCAAACTTAGTGATGCTGAGCAAATGTGGCAAGCTGCCAAACCTGTCAAAGGCAAGCCTGGAAAAGTCGTCGGATGCGTTGGATGAAGCTTTGAGCTTTCTCAGCAAATCCTTTACGGACTTTCATTGGCTCGGGCCTGCAGGACTATGCCATCGCCTGCTCCACGACAAAGGACAGCCGACAGCTAATCCCGTTTTGCTTTGGCTTTGACAGTGAACGCGGTGGGCGTGTCCCTGGAGGGCTTTGAGCCGGAGCCGATCACGCTCAGAGTGGTTTTCGTGCCATGCTCAGTGCCTTGAAGTCGAATCCTGTGCGGCGCAGCTTAAAGCCCAAGGACTGGAGCGACACAGACGGCTCCGGCAAGCTCTCAAGAAAAGAGCTTGAAGCGTCTCTGGGCAAGATCAGGCGAGCTTCGAAGGTCTTCAGGCCATTGTTCCGCAACTCTTGTGGATTTGAGCCGTTTTCAAGGGAATGCTGCGGAGCGCTCCCTGAGATCACTGACGAGGTGCACGCATGTTCATCACAGTTCCAAGGTCACAGTCGACTGTTCTCGGAAGGCATGGAATCATCTTGACGAGGATAGCCTTCGTTTCTGTAGTGGACACCTCTGGCTCCGCTTGTTCTCTGTCTTCTGAGCCGTTGTGGGCTCTGCCACCTTCGTTGGTCTTTGAAGGACGGCAATGGTGTTGTCAACTTTGGCGAGTTCGCCGCCTGGGCCGGGCCACGTCTGGGCCTGGAGCTAGGCGAGCCCGGAAAGTCGTAGCGAAGCGTACACTGAGACTGAGGCATGTGAGAAGGACATCTCAAAGCTATTGATGGGTATTTGGATTGAGAAGAAATGGACAGGATAGTCGCGAATAGGGAGCGAAGTAGGTAGAGGGAAGTGCTTGAGTGACATGTGCACGAGCGTTGATCTGAAGGTTGCGGGATTCAAAGCGAGAGGGACCGTGTGAAGATGCGAAAACGTGCTTTGCGATGTTCCGTGTTGGCTTTGTAAGCAAATGTCTTTCGCTGATGTTGTTGCCTAGTCCGGCTTGGTTAGCAGGGGCACATGAAGCATTCCCCTGGATGTTTTATGCGCAGGCTATCAGTCACAAAGCCCGACTGCAAGTTCTGATTGCCACGACTCCATGCAGACTGTTTGATCCACGTCTATGTATGGCAGGGTTTAGACACCTTTCGGGGGTTCAGAGGGATTGGACTTTGCAAGCACCATGACCGTACAGACCGAGGTAGGCACAGTTTCAACAAAAGAGTACCATCTCATGCAAAATCAGAAAGGCTAAACCGACCAAGCAAGCCAAGCAACACCAACAACCACACACACACACAAGCAACCTTCTGAAATACATGCTAATGTGACTAATGTGTAAGAAACTTTACATCGTGGCTTATTCATGATGTTTCCCTCCTGCGCTATGTTCAGTCGCAGTGTGTCACAGTGTGTCACGAGTGTCATACATTGTCTTTCTGTGATGTATACCGATGCACTTGGTCTTGACTGGGACCCCTATAGCATGACACTGCAGCATGATTCAAATGCAGCACTTTATGCCGCGTGTTGTCATGTTATTTTTATCGCTAACGTGAGGCCGCCTCGGCAACGGTAGTCGAGGCTAGTTTCGGGAGCCAAGTCGCGCCACGCCCCCCACCCCGTCCCCCCCACCCTCCCCCCCTCCCCCCCAAAAAAGCAGCGAAATTGGAGCCGACCGGAACACCCCCACCCGAATCGCACCACTGTACAACCACCCAAACTCCCCGAACCCACTGATCTAAACGCCTGGGGCCTCCGGCCTCGGCGGATTATGGATTGATCGTATGGGTATGACCTGCTGTATACATGTCCTGTGCGCATGTCGGACATTGATTGTCCCAGCTTGTCTTCTCTTCTACTTTATCTTACCACAGAGCGATGCGATGCATCAGTACACTGTGTGGCATTCAGAGATGTATGGTGCTTGATCTGCGGAGGCGTCAAGAAGATGCTGGGCAAGCCAGCAGCCTAGCCTTAGCAAGCTTGGCTAGCATGGTCTTTTTGCAGGATTTATGTGGGTATGTCTGGATTGAAGACTTGCGGGATTCAGTGCAGTCTCAGGTCTGCAACTACGATGATGCGGGCATCACCGTGTGGAGTGTTGGGTTGCCCGTGTGAAAATTTCGTCGGGCACGAGGCATCTGCCAGTTCATGTAAAGAGGGTGTGCTGCCTTCGCGCTTGGTCCTGGTGTGTGCCATGTTTGCTAGGAGAAGAAGCATGACGCGAAGTGTAAGGACATCTTTCTCTTAGCCTTTCCTCGCGGGTTGAATCACAAGTCGAAGCAAAGTGTCGACGTCGGCAGCCTGTGCGGCAACTGCATTTTGATGCAAAGCTGGTTTGCCCCTGTCCCTGATATGGTCCTTGCTGGCACAGTATTGCCAGGACTGCAAGCACAAGGCAGGGCTGCACACGACAAGAGCCAGAGAATCTGCTGGAGAAGTTCCGTCCGATCCCCAAAGAGCAGCACGCCGTTTGCAGATGGGGTAGGCAACTGTACACTCAGGTTCCCGGACTACTGGCAGAACCACGACGGAGATTTCAACGAGCTCATCCCCATGACAGGATTTCAAGACGTGCATGCATCAAGTACAATCTGCGTCCATGCTAAGTCCTCCCTTGCTGCTTCTGCCTTTGTCCGTGCACTTGCATCTCCGTCCTTTTCTTCGTTCGTGCGCTCGCACACGCCACCCGCTGCCGTGCGCAGGCAAGAAAGATGAGTGGCAGAAACTCTTGAAAGAAACGTACAGGTGTGGCTCCCAGTTTCATGTGATTGATTCCGCATCCGCATGGGTGGTTGTTGTCGGTATGAGCACGGAAACTGCACTCCCGAGAATAGAAATACAAGTAGTGGCCAAAGTAGTAAGGCAAAGCGGATAGGTGTAGCAGTGGCCGGCAGCAGCAACCAGAATACTTGGATTCTTGTTGCTCATTTCAACCTCTGATTTTTCGAAAGCAGGCGCAGCAAGAGGGTTGGCAACAACCAAAACTGTCAAGTTTCGGCTTCAGATCGAGTGAGGGCTCACACTGAAGTAACAATCAAAGTTGTGTCCCAGCTTCCGCTTCTGTGACACTCCACAAATTTCGAAATTTGTGGGCAAAGCCGTGCGAGACATGCGAGACGAGCAAAGCCATGCAGCAGCACCAGCCACCAGTACAGAACCTGCGTTTTGCGCGAAGGAAAGAGCACAGCTGTTGCCCAGGAAGGCATACACGAAGGATCGTGCCAAGCACAATCCGACAAATCCCAAGGTCGGGCCGAGCTCCATACCCGGCTGATGAGTTTTCGAAACGGCGGCCAGGTTCCTGCCGACTTCGAAGTGGTGAACGTCAAGCGCAACGAGAACAAAAAGACCTGGGAGGCACAAAACCGAGAGTTCATTTTACTGAACTCTTGGAGCATTTGCTTTGCCGCTCCCAGGAGTACGCCTGCCGCCGTGGCGATTTGCTGGCCAGGGAAGAGCTCCCAGAGCTCTGGCGGCAATTAAGAAAAGGGGTTTAGGGCTTTGAGAAATGCTTGGTGACGCCACGAGGATCCCGATCTCTAAGGAGTTGTTTCCGGATGTTAAGACGAGCCTGGCAATGGAAAAGATTGGAGGAGCGAAGGACGGGGACGTTGTTGACGACATCCCTGTAATGAATGTGGCAGTGGCGAGAGCTCGGTAGAAGTAGCATCAGATCACCTGCACGGCCAGCACAAAATTGAGGCCAACCGTCTGCACGGCGAGTGCATCTTGGACAGACCGCTTTTTATTCTTGGGCATCTTTCTGCTCAGAGCAAGCCTGAGCTGCCGGCTTCAAGGCAACGAGTGGTATCTTTTCCACGGAACAAACCCGGTTGCTGCTGAAGCGATTTGCTCGAGCCACAGCTTGGACTGAAGCAGCCTTCGCTTTTCTGGTGCTTCTGCTGGTCTTTCCACCAGGCCAGACGGACTTCAAAGTCAGCCGCGCTGGCTCCAGCACTGGCACCCTGTACGGCAAAGGACCATCCGATCTCCAGAGTCTCGAGGCTTTAGCTGTCGGTCGTGGTCTCGCTGCTTTCGCGAGGACTTTATTTCGCCGAGTCGATCACCAAGGCTAAGCTGCTAAGCATTGAACTCGCCGTTGGACTGCGACTTTCCTCACATCGCAGGCTGATGAGTATGCGAAGCCGAACGAGGAAGGGCTCTATGCCGTATTTTCCTCAGGTCCAGAGGCTTGCATGCACATTGGCTCTGCCAAACTGTCAAAGGTCTTGATTTGCCGAGTTCTTGGTGGCAAAGTCCGCTACACGGACGAGGTAAATCCGGACCCGGAGGTGCTGTGATTGTGCAGTACTTCTTTGCCACAACAGTCTTCAAGTCGTGTGAGACTCATGTCTGCTCTCCACTCTACAGCATGAGGAACTGGTGCATTCCTGCATCGAGGGTCCATATGACTCCGTCTGTGGAGACCGCGAGAAAACCCGTGGGACATACAGGCGAGCAATTCCTATCAGCATGCAAGACTTCAGCAGCGGATTGTCTCTCATGAGGGAGTTTGTACTCTTCGACTCCGAAGACGTGTATGTGGAGTATGCTGCGGCCTCGGCAAGAGCTTGCATCAGCAAGAGGTGTCTCATGGTGTAGACTGACGGGCTGTTTGGATTCATGCTGAACAGACTGTCATCCGAGTTTGCTTCTGTGCTCAGGTGATTGAATACAGACGAAAGTACAAGGATTAGCATCGCAAAGAGCGACTCTGTGGTGAGCACTCAGGCTTTGCTGAGCTTTCGGGTGTCCGCTTCGAAGAAGGGACAGAAGCCCACGCAATCCTCTGTTGAGACTTGCCATCCTTGTCAGTTGCTCGGCAGCCCTGAGGGCTGTCGTGGCACCGTTCCAAAACATTCATGAAAACCTCGGCAAGTTGCAGGAATGAGCTCATGTTCTTGTTTGAGGGGGCAGGACGGGGGGCGGTTGGCCAGTAATGCAGTACTCAGCAAGGCAATGTCACCGTCAAGGGTCTATTCATTGGCAGCGGTCGTCGTGGTGGTGGAGTTTTGGAGCTTGGATCATTCTCCTGCTCGGGGTGGTGGGATCCTGGCCCCACATTGGGGACACATATGAGATGTTTGGACGGGAACTGTCGGCTCAGCACAGACGTGCAGTACCGTCATCAGCCAGTTTCCGCGTCCTTCCCAGTGTTTCGCATGCTTATGGGTAGGC